ATATTTCCAGACTTGCAATATTTTGTACTTCTTATTCATGGCTGTCTATGAACTGCCCTGTTTGTTCTCATTGCTCTTTGGGTCTTTTATTGTATCTGATACAGCAGTGTGGCTGATCCAGAAATGATTCATCTAATTACTTGGACGAGTGACAAAATCCGTGGCAAAGGTTAACAAATGCTTCTTGTAGTCCACATCTAAGAATCGGATTGTGTAGGACCAAATCACTGGCCCTGCCCTGAGCACCACAGCTCTGCACAGAGATGGGTACCCTGCAGAGCCAGAGGTGAATACACCCCTCTGTAATGTGTCTGCAAACCAATTTCTCCTGACAAACAAAAGGCTTCTGAGACTTGAAGCTCTAGCGCTCAGTCTGGACTATGGCTAATTTATTCATTACATTCAAGCTGTACCTCAGGTAGAGACAAGGCAGCAAAAATAACCGTTATCTCTGTTGCCCCCTTCCCCATCTCTACCAGCACTCTGGATAGACTGATAAAAATTCATCTTTGGTGACCAATGAAAGGTCTTCTGCAGTAACAAGCAGCCTTTCCTGTGTCATCCCAAATGCTGCTCATACTTCTGGTTGTAGAGAAATTTCCTTTAGTCCCTAAGAGACTCCTTTATTTTCAGAGCTTTGTTACCTTCCTGAAAAGGTGTTTGTGCCTTTTACCTTTGTTACTGATGTGTATATATCTAATTGTCTTGCCTCTTACAGAGAAAAAACAATGACAAAAATGAAGCTTTCAGGAGTATATGCCCACACACTGGCTCGAGTTCACGGGGTCTCTTCGGGGATGAATCTTCCTGGAATCGGGAGCACCGGTATTTTATCTCACGAAGATGTCACGATGCTTTGCTATTAGTGCTTCGGATCTAGAAGAGCAGCACCACCATTACAGCCCACGAAAGGGAGCTCACCTTTCGGATTGCTCCGGCTCAGAAGGAAGCTGCCCTCTGGTGGCCGCGGCGCTCGCTCTCGGGTGAGAGCACTGTGCGGGGGGCTTGGGTGATCACTCCCCGGCACGAACCCTGCCGCGACCGGAGGAGGAAGCTGCGGGCCGCTGGGGTCACCGGCACACAGAAGCCTCCGGGCCCTGCATTGCTCTCACGTGTCAGTCCGCGGGGCCGGATGCGGTGCTGAGCCCGTTCCTCGCAGCCGATCGCACAGCTCCAGCGGGAGCAGGTGCGCCGGGCAAACCCACTGCAATGCACGCAGCGCTGCCTTGTGCCCCAGTTGTTCTCCCAGAGCTGGCTGCCTTCGGCTGCAATGCAGTTTCAGGAGAGGAATTCCTGGAACTGCTCAATTCTTCCCCCCCTTTTTCTCCGTCACTTCCGTGGTTCAAGAGCTCAGCGCTGCCTGAAGGGCAGCGTGCTGCCGAACCTTCCTCCTGCTCACACTGGAACTGTTCTGCTGACAGCTGCAACTTGCTAAGCTATGGCAAGCGAGCAGGGCATGGCTGGAGGAGGCCAGGAACCTAACATGCGTGCAGCTGGTTACTTCTTCAGCATTCTTTTTGTTGTTGTTGTTGCACTGGTCTCTCTTAAAGCGGCTTAAAATCGAACTGTTCTGTCTAGGCAAAAAGCAGTGACTATTGAAGCTCGTTGAATACTCACTCAGCACTTGAGGAAGGTTTTCTTGACACCAAGGCGACCCAGAATGTGTCATCCCAGCCACCAACCCACCGTGTCCCAAGGACTGGCTGCCCCTGCACCTCACAACCCAGCTCTGACACAGCCCAGATGCCTTCTTTTGGCCTTCTTTAAGCTTTTTTCTGTTACCCTTATGTACTTTACAGATATTGCTTGAATGCATCAATCCTATTTCAGGTGTTGAATTTCATGCATTTAGCTGGGAAAATCACTGGGAAAAATTCCTATTGCAAATTGCTTCTTTATGATCAGTGGAATGCATATGCAGAAATGTGTTTCCCTTGTTACTTTTTGGAACACTACCATGACAGTCTCTGAAGCAGTGAAGTTACCTGTATAGCTGCCTGTGCAGGTTGGTCTGAGCACCTGCAGGAAGTCATTAGGGTGTCACATCCTGTCAGTCACTGAGTTTGCAACATACCTCTTTCTATCCCGGTGAAGCTGCTGGAAAATATCATATAATTCAGCTGAAAGGAGACTGATGAAATTGAGCAGAATTCAGAAGAATACTGATGTAACCATGGAGTGAAGGGCTACTGTTGAAAAACGCAAGACAGATAATGCAAGCAGCCTAAGCTTGCCTGCTGACAAGTCATCCTTTCTTCCATGGCAGATGAAAAAGTCCAGTGGTATTTTCCTGTGATATGGTTTCTTGTTGATTGCAGAAATAGGCTGCAAGGCTTTCTCAGACAGTAGATGCAGTTAGAGCTGTCCTGAAAAGGAAACTTACTCACTCCACATGCAGGCTTTTACTTACTCCCTCTGGTCACTGCATTGTAAATCTTCACTGTTCTGACATCAGTTTGGCTTTCCCTAGGAGACGGAGGAGATGCTGCCAAACAGAATAGGTTTTGTATATTCTAACCCCTATTCTGGATAGAATTAATGGCCCAAGAGCGAAAGCCAAAAGCCTCAGATTTGTTTGGGTTAATCAATGCCAGAATTTGTTGGCTAGGAAATGGTACAGATGATCTTTCACAGTTGAAAGACTATGTCAGTATTGCAAGTGTTTGGAAGGTAACAGCACACATGTCTTAAACGCCATCACATAACACATGGGCTTGCACAATAAGGCATTGCTGGACAGGGTACGAATGAGCATCTTATTCCAACGCATGTGAAAGTTTGCAAATAATTTTGGAATGGTTGATCAAAGCAAAAGGAGCAGGTGCAGTGCTGTATGCATGGGAGGAGTAGGAGTAATGAACGCACAGAAAGACTCTGGCACACAAAGTGGATTTCTCATGATGTCAGCTGTTTCTAAGGAGAATGAGTTGGCACTGTTTCGGTTGATCATCCAGGTTGTCTGGGGTGGTGGAGGCACCAGGACATAAATTAACCCCAGAAGAGAAAGCAGTACCTATGATCTATTCACTGTTACTATTATTTTTTGCAAAAACCTGACAGAGAGTACCGGGAAAGTGCTTTAAACTAGTGTGATTTCTGTCACAATTATTCTAGCCCAATATACGCAAACAGTCATTAACAGAGCTCAGCTGATCAACAGTGCTTTGGTAACTTGCAGCTAGTGCATTGCTTGCAATAATTCAGCTCAGTTAATTTAGAAAACAGAGGAAAGTAAAATATTTTATTGAACCCCTACAGAAAGACTAGCTTCTAATCACTAACAGCCAACAAGCAATAGGGTCAGTCCATAATCTTGCACAAAGTATTTGTGTTAGGATAAAACCACCGTACATGAATACAGTGTTTATTGGTATTTGTTAACAGGACTGTGTTAACAGCATGTTTGCAAGCGGGGTTCAAAACCAAACTGTGAGCATCGGGGTGGAGTCGATGTTTGAACAAGGCAGCAGGTAATAGATTAATTTTATTACATATAATAAAGTATATTACATAAGGGTATTGCACTATTGCAGATTGTCTGATAGAAATGATATGCACAGGTTTATTCCACCAGGCAAAGGGTACTTACATGCAAGCTTTCGTTCTTATCAAATACAGCTGGACTTACTGAGAGGTAGATTTATCATAGCACTAATTAGAAAAGCAAATAGATAGAGAAAGTCTTTCCAACCCGCATTATTCTGACTCTTCCATAAAGCTTTTGTAAAGGAGCATTTGTACTTAATTCAGAAGGGCTGCTTGTGAGATTAACTTGATATGATGGTGAAAGGAACAATGCAACAAAACCCCTTAGAAGTCTGCTGTATTCATCCATTATATTTTACATAGGCAACATGCTGGGCCAGCATTTAAATCACCACAAAACAGCAACCTGGTATTTTTTCAGCTACAAGAGACTGGTCCTGTTAGTAGCACAGAGTATGAGGTTTTTCTTTTTTCACTGATAAGAGCCATTGTTGTCGTGGACATCTTTATTGCCAAAGCTACTGTAAACTGGTATTTCCTAACCTGTAGGTGAGTCCCTTTTTTCTGTTCCACTTAAAACAGTCTCAATATCTCAGTGTCGTGCAACGGAAGCCTGGGCTGTGCCTGTAGGGCAGCCCCAACCAACCCATCTCACAGGCTGCCTGCCCCAGTGCAGGACTGTTGGGGCACTTGGACTACGTCAAAAAGAGGTGAAGAATGTAAGAAGTGCTCTATGGGGCAGCACAATCCCCGCTGCCTGGCAATGAGTCCCCAACTCCCCACTCTGCTCCCCGGAGTGCCCGTGGGTCAGAGCCTGCTGAGCCAGCACCACACGGTGTTGTGGGCCCAGTGAGTGGCAGAGCCTTCATCGAGCTGGAGAGATACACTGGTTGATATTTAACTTGATTTTGTTTCCAGGCCTTACATTGAGCGGGGCAGCCCTCTGATACATGGCATCAGCAGCAGTGATCTTGCCAAAAGGATGATAAAAATCAGAGATTACCTTTAGGGAAAGAGGTGCTTACAGAATGCAGCTGGAAGAGGATCACTCAGGCTCACTTTGAATCCTACTGAAGCATTGCACTCCAGAATGGGTTATTGCAGCCAGCTCCAGTGCAGCTGAAACGACTGGGGCCCTGACTGCAGCTCAGTGCCAGGAGCTACCAGAGACCTCTGCCCCCACTCCTGCCCCGCATCCACACTGCAGTGTGAATGCACACCTCCCATAGGAACAGGAGCTCTTGCATTCAAACAGACACCTTTGGCCACGTATTTGTCATGAGTCTTTTCTGTTCAGTCTGAAAGAGGAATTTTCAGGAAGGAACTTGTGCTTCAAAAGAGTTAAAATGTGATCGTAGCAAAAGGCAGAGGACAAAGCCCGCACACCAAGCAGGAGCATCACTGAGCACTTCGGCCTAAGGGCAAAAGCTCCACCACAACCTGGTTGGGTTTTTTCCCCAGTAAAGGAACAGCTGAAGGAAACAGACGATGCATTTTTTTTTTGGTTTTTTTTTGTTGGTTTTTTTTTGGATCTTTTTTATTCAAAAGTTTTCAAAGAAATAAAACAGAAAAAAGCTAACAATCTAATCAAATTTACAGTTCAAAAATGTCTTTTGGCGTTTAACAACAAGTCCTAGGAAACAAAACTACAGAGTTATCTTGAACCGGACAAATAAGTTACCACTGGCAAGTTTGTGGCACTAGTAAAACAAAAATAAAAAATTAACTCTCTTGATCATATAGATATCTCTATGAAAATCTTTTTTTTTCAATCTGTACAAAAGGTCTTTCTTCATAAATTAATTTTTTATAATTTAATGGCTGTCTACTATGTGATGGTTAAGTAACTGATCATTTCTTTATGTACAGAGGTTAAATTTCCCAAATCTTACCCAGACAATGAGTATGGCACTTAGTTCAGACGTTTCGGCAGCAGCTCTTCCCTCCCTCTAACACAGCCACCATACTGCGGTTCGAAGCAACGCAAAAGTATCAAGTAGTAAGAGATCCAGGCATGGAAATCCACCCGACCCAGGGAAGGTGCTGCAGAAAGTCTGGACTTTGACAAAGCAGTAATATTCCAGGGAGCATAGAACCAATAATACCACAACTTTTCAAAAAAAGAAAAAACAAAAACACATCTCTTACGACTATGTATTTCACTAGAATCTACACTTCTCAGAGCAGCAATTTACTTTTGAAACTATGAAATGTCACCGACATCTATACTCCAATACTCACACAAAATTTAAAAACTAAAAAATACTCGAAAGAAACAACTGTTAGCCCCAGCTCCTGAGCCGGGATGATTTGGTCTGTGGAAACAGGGAGGGCCAGCAACCTGTCCCAATACAAAAGGAAATAAACTTTGAGGTAGATAACTGATCACATACAGCTGACCAGAGAAGTACACAGTTTTGGAAGACAACTTAATTTATCGTTTGATTTAAAACATATGCGATCGTAATAAAGAGCTTTAGTAGCAGTGAATTATCTAATATGTGAAGTACAAATAACTGTATTTATGAATCAGGAATTTCATAGTTTCAAAATCGGTTTTCTTTACACTTAACACTTGTAGTGATGATGTAAAGTGTGGCACTGCTTGGATCCAAGTCTTCCTTCATGCTTTTGTGTCCATACGTCAATTAAAATTATAAAACCTAAATGCAAATGTACAAAAAAGGCACATTCTCCTAACCGCAAACTGGTCCGGCAAAAATAAAGAGTACAGAAGACGTAATGCTGAGACAAATCAAAATTATTGGTTACTGGCTCTTTGTTCTTTGGTAAAGTTACCTTTTAAAAGTGCCAAGTCTTTTTATTTTTATTTACCTACAATAGAGAGCTAGTACCCAATCAATTATGCTTCTCCTTGCATCTCAGCTTGTGTTTGAAAACGAGTCCTTTAGCTTTTGCCATTTTGCTGCAATAGCAACTTTTGTGTTTGCTAAGTCTCAGTACGATCCTCATCCTAAAGCACTATCATTAGTATAAAGGAAGGACAAAAACATTCGGTGAGATCCCCACCCCAAACTCCCTATTCTACCTACGCTAAAACTAGAACATCGAGTTAGTTTCCAAAAAAAAGGCAAAAAAAGATTTTACATTGCATCATACAGCAGAGTTCCTAAGTCATCCGAACTACCAGAGGGAGCTATCGGCGTACGGCCTTACAAACGATTTATCCTATTAAAATTTCCCCATCAGAAAATGTGTTTCACACAAAACAGTTTTCCCCTCTTGCGTTTCACTACCTTACATATTATGTGAAAAATCATTAAAAACACTTACTACACATTAAAAAAGCCAAATTTTCAGCAATTTTTATTGACTACCTTTAAAAGCCCTATGCTGCTGTTTTACAAGGCATAATAGACCAGCTCATTTGGTCAAAGCATTCTACACCATTAGTTTGGACTACTTACTGAAATAGCTACAGCATCGAAAGATTTAAGGCAAATTGGAATTCATAGAAAAGGATAAGACACTTCACACTACATTAAAAGAAAAACAGAAGGCTAAAAGACCAGACGCTATAACTGCAACACTGCACTAAAGCAACACTCACACACTGCAAGCACAGAACATCATCCTAGATGTTTTACTATTTTAAACTTCAGAAAACCCATTTCATACAATTAAAAAAAAAAATTAAAAAAAAAAAGGAAAAAAATAAAAGGAAACAAAGGAAATAAAAATAAACCAAAACACAAATTCTGTCATGCACATGAATAGTCTTCGTGGTCATCTGTGCATACCCAGAAATTTGAATTTTTTTTTTTTTTTGCGTCGTAACACTTGATAAAAATTTTTTTTTACTAAAATAAACCTGTTCATGGGAACAGCTACTAGATGAATTTAAGGTTTTTCTTATGCACCTTATAGAACTTATAGCAAAAATAGTTTTAGTTGATTTCATTATAAATAACATTTTCAAGAACCTGTGCAAAACTGTCAATAATTCCTAAAGCACAATTGATCAGTAAAATCCATGATTGTTTCAGCCTTTGCACCCTTCTCCAGGCCAGGTCAACACCGGGCATCTGCAACACAGAAAGGTCAGAGCTACAGCAGGGTTACGAATTGCATTCATTTTACTAACGTGGCTGTGTGCGAGCTACACCACCTCCTCCTCTAGACAGCTGGGAGCAGACTGAGAGAATCAGAGCACAGATCTGAGAAGCAAAGCCAGAGGTGGCACTCCAGGTGCTCGGCACTCACTGGGATACGGCTCTCTGCCAGCATGTGGCCTCCCCATGTTCTTTCCCCCTTTACCTCTAATAAATATAAGCATGCAGAATGCCCACCGAGGAGCTGGGAGGCTGTGTTCCAAGCTATCTCCCTGCCTGCTTTCTCGTTGTTGGTTGCTTTTAATTGACCCAAAGCAGATGAGTGAGTGAGCCTACTGCTGCTGCATCCAAAGGCTTCCATCTCTGGATGAGAAGAGGGAGGATGTGCGCAGCTCCCCACAGCCAAAGCACAGGCAGCTCCCATGCCTCCACGCTGGTTAACATTTAACAGCAATTCAGGGCTCATTAAACATGAAGGGAAGCTCCTCCATTTGCTATACTGGCTTAAAATTATCAGATGGGTTTTAAAAAACATTCAGCTAATGAAAAGTTAAGACAGTTTTGGAATTTTTCTAGGAAAGGCAGCGTGTTAATTTAAAGTTTGTACATTCATAGGTGCATATTCAATTATATTGGGCTATTTTTAAGTCCCTTTACTATTTTCACATAGCAGCAACTTGACAACAAGAAACAATACAGCTATTAAGTGTATTCATTAAGGGAAAGGTGCTGGGTATTCCTGACAGACTGTACTGTCTCATGTTGTCATTTGCCACTTATTGATGGCAAAATATATCACAACTTTTAATAGGACATCTCCAAACGTGCTGTGCATGTATTCAGAAAAAAGCTATCATTTGTCAACAGTGACAAAACTATAACAATTAAGAGGCCACAGTGTTGCCTGTATTTAGGGCAAGAAATAACCATCAGTTCCCTCCCCTTCATTTGTCTGATAAATGACAAGTACCAGCATGCTCTGAGGACAGAAATACCGAATGCCATACTCCGGGGCTGAAATCAGCTGAGCAATATTACCCTTCCTCTTGTGCCCACACCCGCTGCCGCAGTGCACAGATTTCCCTGTGCAGATCAGTGCAGGCAGCAGAGCTTCTCTAGGAATAAAATCATGGAGGATTTTATCACTTCCAGCAAGCACCCAGAACTGCTCATAGAGCTCAGTGTGCTATAGAGTCAATGTTAGACAACGTTTCTCGGGTTGCAGCGCACCTGATCCCCCTTCAAGAGTCTACATGTTGGTCCTCCTATGGCCCCCATCTACAAGAAAGAGGCTGGCACACTGCTGGAGGTGTGGGGATGCAGGATTCTGTTGTCCCACCTACTACAGATCTGTTCACAAGGAGGCTTTACGTGCCCACAGGGAAGACTTAACGGCATAACAAATAATTTCCTGAAAAGTGGTTAACACCAGCCAATAGCCTTGGCATGGGAAGCATGCAGGAGCTTTAACACTAGGAGATGGAGAATGAGAAGAGTCTGTGGCTTTGCTTCTCCCTGCCTTGGAAGAAAACCAAGGATGTGGGCTTGCTCTAGATGCCGGCGTTTGGCCAGACTAAAATAATAAACACAGGTCATATGTTGTGCTATGCGGACTGTGCCAGCTGTCAAATGTGCAAAGTTTCCTAATTGGTTTGTTTCTATCTTTACATACTTGAACATGTAAGAAGCTGTTATGCCAATAATAGGGATGAGAGCAGTGTTGTCAAATAACACAGTTGACCTGCAAAATCAAAAGTGATGGCAAAATGTGTGTACTGTTGGATCTGCGCATTTTAAAGAGAGTATCACACCATTGGGAACTCTTGCACGTAACTGCGTGAGGTTTTTGACTACTTCAGGAATGCCATGAGGGCTGTGAAAAAAACACTTCTAAGACCACCTCTCATACATACTTGAAGCTGAATGGAATTATTCAGCATTAGGTCTTACAAAATTTGATTTAAAAATTATGTAGTCCAGTTGCTTGGTTTACAAAGCACCCAGAAAAAGATGGGTTAGGAAAAAACTAACTTCCAGTAATTTAAAGCATGGAGGATGAAGGAGGGTTAGTGCAAACAGCATTTTCAGGATAGCAATCTACTGAAAGAAAAATTATATACAGAAGGAGTTAGGATAAACTAATGAAGGGTCAGTGAGGAATGCAAGCAAGGACATAGGAAACCTGCAGGAGGAAGGTAAATAAAAAACTCTGGAATTAGAGCCAATCCAGGACCTGGATTAAAAATCAACTGACAAAATTCTGGACCAAATTGCTACTTCCTAGAATAAAGGATGGGCAGGGAAATTTGCAAGAGAGTGTCAGCAAAGATTTCTAAAAGACCGGAACCCAGCCGCATACTCCCTAAGACTGTTGTGAAGCTGCTTCCCAATCTGATACAAAGGATTTTTGTACTAACTCATTGTTATTCTTTTATACCACATGCTGTATACAAGATTAACAAATTAAAATAGAATATAATCCACATAAGCTATAGAGAAAGTATCAAAGTGTTATTTGTAATTCATTAACTCACTTTTTCCTTTCCCTTACTTCTAACTCTGGCCAAATTCATGTTAATTTCAGTGTCTGTCCCCAGATATTATCAATGTTATTTATATGATATGTGCAAGAACTTTCAATACAGAGTACTGCATGTTATGAAAAAAATATATATTTGAATTCACATCTTTCATGTGACAGGAGGAGCCCCTACCTCACAGTTACTTATTTTGTTGATACGTATACGGAGAATGGTCACTGGACGTCTCTACTGTAACCTGCTGTTGACCACTGGCTTCCTGAAAATGAAGAGGGAGAAACTATGTGAGACGAAAGCAGACAGCATTACCTGCAATCTGCATTTCCATGCAATGTTTGCAATTAGGTCTTCAAGTCTAAAACCTTTCAAACATGGCAGAATACTTGCACAGTTACAGCACTTCAGCAGGCAAAACTCCTTGCAAAAAATAATAAAAATAAAATAATTTTAAAATAGTAAATTTGTATCTCTTATCTCTGGTCTTCTGTATCATATACTGACCTCAACAGGAACCGCTGCTGTCTGGACATGTGTGTATTGGGGTATGTAGGCTCCTTGCATAGCTGTTGTGGCTGGCATGTACTAGAAGGAGAAACAGCATGTTAAGCTGAGCTGAAGTCCAACGAAAATTTAAGAGTATTCAAAACACCTGTTATGACACCATGTAATAGATACTGAATGTTTCCCATATGTGAGAGACTTTTGTGTCTGAAACTAAGAGCCTTTTCAGAAAACTGAGGTGTTTTTGTTTTTTTTTAATACCTAATTTAGCCTCCAAAAAAGTAAAGTAAAGTAAGTAAAGAATTTTTCTCTGTTAATCCCTACACATACACATATATATTAATACTCTCTACTCAGAAGAGAAGAGTCTTTTGGTTTAGAGCCTGGCCTTCATCTCTTCTTCCTGTCTAGCTTTTGCTCCACACAATGTATAACTTTCAGCTCTCTGATCTCCTGAAGAACAAAAACAACTGTCGTTTCTTTTTCACTCTGGAGTCATCTCCTCGGTTCCTTTCATTTGTTTTATCTATTTTGCTTACTCACTCTATCTGACTAACTAATAGACTGAATAAATAATGATGAATCTAATTCATATATGGAGACAGTTCTTAATATTTTATCAAATTAAGATTTTTTTTACATGTAAATGTACGCGCATACTGTTATCTACACACAATATTTTCCACTTGCAAAAGTTCTATTTTGTATTTAATTGCTACATACTGTTCCAGTACTGCCTAATGAAAGATGACTCATCTGCTGCGTCAAAGGGCTTATCATTGATGCAGGCTGTAGTGACATGGTATGGTCCATGGAGGGAGTCAGTACAGCACCCTATGAAAACAAAGAAAGAAATGATGAAGGCAACAATCAGATTTTAATTATGTTTTTAATTTGAGACACTAAGTAGGCACTGTCCTTTCAAGGGGATATACTGCATGAATTCTCCTTAATGCACGGCACTGACTGACTCAGCACACAACTCTTGGGCACTCTAACATGGACGCGTTTTGCACAGCTTGGTCGCAGGGTAAGTACTGCATTGACTTCCACTGACTTCCTACTGAACGTAAACAAATGCACAATGCACTTGAGACACCTGCTGCAAACACAAGTTCAATTAGATGTTAACTTTACAGTAAAACTTGGCACATTACCAGGTTTGCTTAGTTTGAGCTTTGGAATTTCAGGCTTTAAGAAGCATTTGTCTCATCTTTAAGAATAGAGGCTTTGGAGGAACACCTGTGTTAGGGGAACGCTACCTGCACATGTCATGTTCACAAACAAGACAAATTTTAGATGAGGGAGTCAGCAGAGCTGCAAAAAGACTTGGTTATCTACACAAATACCAGCTGCCAGGATGGCTCTATGGTTCTGGGGCCAGTTTGTTAACTTTACAAAGTTACAAAGATGTGAGCATTTTTGAAAACTCAACATTGCTAAATATGCCAAGGTATGCTTGTCAGGTTTTCAGAGTTATCTGAAATGGAAGGTTATCAACTGCCTTTGTTTTACTAATCATGTTCTGCAAAAATATATTTCCAAGCAGTCTGTATGAGTTATGCTTGCAGAAGTGTTGATTAAAATAGATGGAGGGTCAAAATCAACAGAAATAATCGCAGTGTACTGAAAGCTAGGATTTTCAATCTATAGCTATTCCTTAAAATGAAAGAAAAAAACAAACCAACCAACCCTACGGAGTGTAGTTGGAAAAACAACCATGTGACCAGCGTAGATGAAATGAGTCACAGGCACATCAAACACTGAAAGAATTTCCTGTCTGCAGACTGCAGGCTTCTCTGCAAAGCAAATGAGTAAGACAGCACCAATTTCTGCACAGACCAAAACTAAACGTACGTCAAAAAACTAGATCGTTATTTTTCAGCTACGAAATCTCATACTGCATATCTTCAAAACAGATAGATCTCACGGTGCTATAACATATTAACTCGTGTCTCCTACAGCATTAATTTGCAGGATGGTTTTTAGGAAATTCTGCATTGACAGAAAAGTTAAAAAAGTTTGTGTGCGTGTTTAACATTCAAAAATTACAAATGCAATAACAGTGAACTGCGTGAGAAGGAGGCCAGCCTCAGTATCGCCTTCTCTGAATTCACAAGGAAATGCTTGGCCACACAGATTTACGTTCTGTACTCTGCATGGAGAAGTTAACTGACATCTGGACAATATCTTTCCTATATTTGGAAACAGACTTGTTTTTCACTATAGGAGGGCCTGTTATTATTTGTAACGCTCCTATCAAGAAACCCTATAAACCCATAATAGCAACTCAATTGGCAAGTGATGTAGATAAGAAGCAAAACATGTGAGAGAACAGATTAGAATACTTGTCAGTCTGGTATAGACACCACAGCCAGACATATAGGGAGAGTAGTGTTACTCATGCATGGTGAAGCCAGAACAGGTTATCCAGGTTGTCTCAAGTGAGTGCCCCTACTGCCATTCCTATCGCCACGTCCATCTGTCTGTCACAGATTATCCAGACTGAACTCCTCTAGATCTGTTCTAAAACATTGTGTCTTCTATTGCAGCTTCCTATCGGTACACAGTACGTAAAGCATTGGTAACTGCAAAGTGCTCATAATTTTTAAAAATGAAAGAAAGGTTCCCCAGGATGCAGACGTGGTAAATCTAGTTTTACTCATCACGTCGATACCCTGAAGGCAGCTTTCTTTTTTTCCTAAGAAAATGAGTCCCAGCTCAGGTTATCATAATCCTTTCTCTTTCCCATTTTCATCCATGATTTAATCATTATGATGTAATTGTCAATTATCTGGAAGTAATGGGGTTGGAAATGGCCTATTCTCTGTTGCTTAAAATATGCAAATTGTTTACACCACAATGGAGAAGTATAAAAACTTACTGGGTGCTGCATTATATATGGTTGAGGCTGCATCCAAGAAGGACTCTGAACCTGGAACAAAATTGGTATTTTATTATCCACTTCAATTAACACTGTACTATTCCGCTCCTGATGCAGCTAGCATATTTTCTCTCCAAAAAATCTGATTATCCAGATGCTTAAACTGAGGCAGGTTGCCTAACTTCACGTGACAAGGTAAATTAAAAGGAATGAAAAGTACACTAATGGGTTATATGGTTTTCTTATTTAAAAAGAGCTGGTTATAACAGCTCTTTGAATAAGCGTGCTGCAAGAAATATGAAAGCAAGATGACAATGTCTCTTTTTCATCTCTGGTAGTGCCATATGTGTAGGATAAGGCAGGATCTGACCTGCATGGGGCATGCAGACCTGACTCACCACGATTGCCGGAAACTTAAAACCCCTTAAACTCTTCACCTTCTTTCCCAGTGTCCTGTGAATAGGACAGGCAGACAGACTGTCTTGAAAAATAAAAAAACACAAGGCGGGGTGTTTTTGGCAAGATGGAAACATTTCTTCCGTCCTCTTGCATTCATTTTCAGTTCTGAGCAATTTTTTTTAAGTAAAAGTGTAACAAGGTGTTCAGAAATCGAATGGTAAAAAGTAAAACAGTTGAACCCTCCCTTTCCCCAGGCTTAATGGCAAAAATTCTGGTACAGCCTGACGAAAGCTTTGGCTGATCTACTCACGCTAACATAGTAACTGGCTTAGTGCTGTCATTTGGGTATACAGGAGTTGCAGAAACAAACACTAGCCAAAACTTTATTAAATTTGTTTACCTTTAATAAGAATAAATCTAGGTACAGGTTATAGCACGCCCAAAGAAAAAATAAATAAATCACGCTTTCAGGATACGTTCTGTTGTGTAGGTGACAGAATGCTGCAAGTTTCAGTGGGATGGATCAGTAATGATGATGTGACTAATGCTCAAATTGTGAAATATTTCTGGACAAGAACCTCCTCCCTCCCTACCATAGAATGCTTCCCTTTTATTTTCAATTCGTATTACTGTAGCACTTTAAATATCATGACGTCAATAACTCCATCCACACCTATTTAAGCTCCATGTGACATACACCAAAACACTGGTTATGACATTTTTAGAAACATACGTTACTGTCGCCCACCTCTCCCAATAAACCCAGCAGTGATCCTGTGCTCCCATGAAGCATGTTTCCATGCCAACTTTCAACTTTTACTTGGACTCAGAATGTTCAAGAGTCTCCTGTTGATTCATAATTTATATTTTAATAAAAAATTCTGATAATGCTTTTCTGGGTATGAGCTTGCTGCAGTTTTTGAGATATTGCTGTACAAAGCGGAATGACTCCATATACTGAAAAATACATCAGTGACACTGTCTGCCAGGAGCAAACATTGTGTTGCATAAATCATCTCAGAAATTAATTCCAAATGAATCCAGCTGCCCTTTATCCCAGAGCGCACCTCCTACATAAACTCTGTTGGAGCAAGAAGGCATTAGATCTCCAGACTTAAAACTGGACAATTCTTCCTCTTTCTTCTCAGATGGAATGAGAGGACATGGTTATTTCTGCACAGTAATGATGGTCCACAGGTAGAAAACTTGTGTGTTAAACAGTAAAATGCCAGATAGGTAATCATTTAGGTAACGCTGTGATAATGCTCATACAATCTGAACTCCGAACTCCTTTCCAAGTTTCCTTCTCAATGTTAAGCAAGTTTCTGCAGCCTTTTTAACCAACCTACGTAACACATGACTAATGGGCTTTTTTGCTCTGAAACCACCTGCAGAAATGTTCAAAACCATGGAGAGAGATCTCTGAAATAAAACTTCAGTAAACCAAAAAAGGATTTAAACAAAGAATAATTATTTTAAAGGTGAATTATTGATAATAAAAGAATTTGATGAAGAAAAAATGAAAAAATCATACATGAAATGCAGAGGGGGCTACAAACCCTTAGCCATCACCACAATTTAGAGAGTGTTTTTGACAACACAACTGGCATCCCATTACTTTGCTATGCTTCCTGCAACAAACACACCTTCAGTTTTTAAGGCCTTCATTTTCATGCTGTACAGCGTGAAGAGGCCTCTTCATTAAAAGGTAGCATGACTGGAGAGTGCAGAGAGTCAGATGCAGCAACTGATAAATAAGCACAAGCTCCAATGAATCACTGCAGCTCCTAAGTTCTAAATACAAACCTGGTATGTGGAAACTGGAGAAGCAATATATGGCGTAATAGATGTTTGAGTGATCATTCTGTTTGCTGTAATACTGTAGGGTGATGGATAAAATCTAGAAAATATAGAAATATTTATTAAATGCCAGTTCTATGCATCTTTCATAATGCAAACATTTTTTTCTTAGTGTGCTAGCACTTAACATACCCATTTTGTAAAGCAGCTGTGGTTGGATCATAAGTGAGTGTCATTCCAGCCTTTAAAAAATAAGTGGAAAGAGAATTGACATAATTCATCAATTCATGTAAATTATTTCTCATACTCATTAATTAGCTGTATTAATTTTAACTGAAAACTTGTACTGATACAGTTGATTATTCTACAGTTAGGGAAAGGTTAATTGACAGAAGTAATTATAAGTAAAGAGAGTCTGTGACATTGGCTAAAAAGTTTCCATCAGGAAGAACAAAATGCAATCTATAAAATACCTGGCTGAGATAACATGTGTGTGTTTGAGAGGCGGAGCATGAGGATGATTATGCTAGGGCTACACGAGGCATATAATATATAAAGTATAAAAATGAACAAGGAGCCCATTTTTCAGAAGACATATTTGAATTTTGTTGTTTCATACATATGAGGTCTCCAGGCTTGGTAATCACAGTAAGCCTATGAAAGTATTATATTGAATATTAAAGATTAAAAAAAGCTGCAACAAACAGAAAAATTTAATGCTGCACCACACTGTTTTAGTCTTCAAAAATGGCTGTGCGCTTCAGTTCTGCATGAACAAAAGGGATTACCTACTAGATGTAAATAAAGTTACGTTTCACATAACTTTATAATATCAAAGATATTTCAGATATACTCCTGACCAAAGCAAAGGAGATTTTAGTGTTCACTTTAATGAGATACTTTTTTTTTTTTTTTCTCTTAAGGAAGATACAGTTAAGCAGTTTATAGAGTTGCAAATTGTCAGGTGAGGGTTGCTTGCATATTTTTAATATGCCAAAGAGCCGAGCCAAGAAGTCTCAATGCCTATCATTTCCATAAGTATTCATTATTGTACACCCACACTAGAGCTTGAAGGGAGGACTTACAAGTCTCACCTCGCCTTCTCTGTGCCATGCTCTTCCATTCTGTATGTATTTATTCTGATTCTGTCTCTTTTTCTGTCCTCCATCGGCAAACTTGCACAACAAAGGTTCTGCAGGAACTGAGAAGGAAGGAAGAGTATTACTTGCAGTACTATTCATATATAGGGAGGTACAAGTATGGAAGGTGAAGAACACTATGTGAAATGGCTTTCAAATACTTCTCCTCTTCTTGGAGGGCTCAGTAATGTCCCAAAGCGTCAAGCAGTTCTGCTCATTGAGAACGACCAGAGCTGCACTGTACTTCCACTTAGTCACATCTGCCAGATAGACTGGACACCTTTATCTCCTGTCACCTTGCACTGAAAAAATGACACAACTTTCCATTCCCTTTCTATCTCTGATCTATATCTATCTATCTGTATATCTATATCTATCTATCTATCTATCATGCAATGCAACCACAAACTCTTCAAGATTTTTCTTTTATCTCATTCTTTGCAAAATGCCATTAAATGGTGTCACTAAATGTTTTTTAGTTTTGGCATAACATAATCCTTACCACAACCTCAATGCCTGAAATGCAATCAATCAAAAAACAAAAGTTAGCACAGTGCTCTTTCCTTAAGACTGGCTTAAGCTGCAACAGCTCTGTGTACCCGTGGCTGAAGCACAGAACCACATCACACCACACCCTCCCTAATCACAGGGTGGAAGCTCTGTTATGACTTGGATGTGAACACTTCTCTGCCAGTAATTCCTGAGACATGAGCTGTCTAAGCTTTAAGGTGACACTCCTCTGAGCAGTTCTCTGTTTGGAAACACCTGAATGAGACAAGGCTGGATCTGACAATGTGCAAATGTCCCAGTGCAGAGTAAACACACAGGGTTGGGGGGACTGTGTGTAAAAAATCATCCCAGAGGAAAATTTTAGCATATCTATATTCTGCAATAAAATCTAATAAAACCATGATCAGTACTGACGTGCCCTTCATTATGCCTGCATTTAGAAAGGACTATTGGTACTTCCCTAAGTCAGAGGAACAGTGAGTACTGAAAACCGCAGAGGACCAATGGTCCAGCCCAGAATCTGACTTCCAAACTACTGGCACAACCATAACACAGCCCACTGCCAGCCAAGACATTGCTGGTTTTGAATGGCACACATGAAATACTAGCTCTGGTTCTACTGGGGAAAAAAAATATACACTTCCTACATGATACATCACTGACAGCTTTCTCCAGGAAAGGTGATGGACTGGGAGGCAGAGCTGGAGTGTGGCTGCTTGTCTCATCTCAGGACGGATCACGTGTCCTTCAGAGATCTGCACTGCTGTGGCTCATACGCTGCTATTCAGCAGCCACATAACCTTTATCTCAGAGAGTCAGACTTCATTGTACCTGACAACGGAATTAACTTCAAATGGATTGTCTTACAGAGAATAGTAATTAAAATCCCATAACCATAAAATAAACTAGAAAAAGGTTAGGCTAATAAATGGGAAAAATATTGGAGACTATGGAGGGTGGAGTAAATCCGCAATGAAGTACCAGAAACCTGCAAGTAGGAGACAGAAACTGGAGAAGAAGAAGGAGAAAAAGAAGAAGGAGAAAAAGAAGAAGGAGAAAAAGAAGAAGGAGAAAAAGAAGAAGGAGAAAAAGAAAAAGAAAAAGAAAAAGAAAAAGAAAAAGAAAAAGAAAAAGAAAAAGAAAAAGAAGAAAAAATCCCCAAATAACTAAGGCAATTATTTGTGATTTGCCAGAAGTTTGCTCTCCATCATATTGAGCACAGATCTGGTCGTGGGAACCCTTATGTTTCTGACCTTCCACCTTCTTTTGCTCCCCACTGTGTCCATAAACGATACCAAATGATGCAGCTCTCATTAAAAGGAAAAAAAAATAAAGCAGTAGACTGTCTATTTCATACCACCAACTGCTCTGAGAAGGTTGTATAGCTTTCGTCTTCCCTGATTCCAGTTCAAGATCTAAATGCTGATAGGAAGGACATCTGCAGCGAAAAGCCTCAGTTTTTGGCTGCTCTTCCATCCTTGCGACCTGAGCACTACTCATGTTCATTGCTTTAGGAATGTGATGACTGGTGGTCATCGGAGAAGGCTCAGGAGAGATAACTCTTCACAGGAGCGGAGTAGGATCTACTGATCCCCCTCCAACAGATGAATAATCACAGCCCTTCAGAAATTGATTTCTTCAGTTTAGCCTTCCTCCTATTTCTCCTAAGATATGTAAGATGTTCCCTCTCTAACACATATTACATATACACAAGAAAAAGCTGCAGCAAGCCCTACAGACCAGTCAGGCAATCTTTTTTTTTTGTGGTCCAGGAAGGAAGGGAGAGTCATTTTTATTGTTTAATTGTTGGGAAGTGTGCAGGCCCAGATGAAGGGAACTGCTAATCACTCAGTGATTTGTCTGTATGTGCAAGGCAGGGAGGCACAGCATAAATATTCAGAGTAGCATTCACAGCTAAGAGATGGCTGATTTAAAAGGCTATGACTTACAGTGGATTTATGCATCTCTGGCTAAGATACGGAAAATGCCCACTCTGCTGGTGCTTAATGAAAACCAGCAGACACCTAAGTAGGATGGAGATGATGAGATATTGCTGCAGAGACAGTCTACAACCACACACTTTTCAGTACATTGAAACCTGGCTGTGGAAAGAGCAGGGCAGATCCTCCTGCCCTGAATCGCCCTCCAGGACCAATATCTTAACAGAAGAAATAAATGAATAAAATGTTAGTGTAGAGAGAAAATACTTCCCTGTCATACTTGTTGTGTACATGTGTACATTAGAATTCAACCTTCGTCTGCCCAAATAAACACCAAGCGATACAATGGGGCTTCATGTTTGTACTCTTGACTTTATATGGCTAATTTGACAACATTTCAATAATCTCTGCTTTCAGATATTCAAAAATGTAACACAAGTTTTAAAATACTATTCTCATTAATAATGAGTTTTCTGTTAAACTACACCTTTTAAAGACTTTTATTATATATTTGCTAATGACAAAGCATATGAGATTAAAGAATTTTAACATTAAAACAGCACTTTAATGATATGGCAAGCCTGTACAGCTAGAAACTTCTGCCAAAAGCAGTGGGAATTAAAAAATAGGTTGTGCAATCCAAGATATCAAATATCAGGAGCTCTGTAGGTTTCAAGAGGAACAAAATACATAATCCTCACACCATCCTAATCTTCACTTATACACAGCATTCAGGGTTACACTTATGTAATAATTTACATAGGACTTAATAATTTGTCACAAGAGTGACATTTTGATATTTTGAGTGGTTTAATAAGTATTTTTTTTTTTTCATTTCCAATGTCAATGCTTCAAACTAAGGAGAAATTATAAATTATGAGAACAAGAACAGGAAAAGCTCCTAATCTTTGATTTAATGGGTAAAATCTTGGTTTTGATGCCTTCAGTGTGACAATCAGAAGTTACACCAGCACAGTGACCTCTTGATACCCTTTGGCTATGGTTTTCAGACAGTGGATCATAGATTATTTCTAAAGGGTCTGTGAAAGATGACTAAGAAATGTGAGTTTATGTCAAATGGCTGAAGTCACTTTATAGATTTCTGCAACAATAAATTTCTGGATAATTTCAAAGGTAAGCAAATAAGAATTTCGGTAGTCCATTTTCCTTCCTCTTCTGCACTAGACAGGTAATCAAGACCAAAACCATTTCTAACGGTGGCTGCCACACCTGGTACACTTCTCCCTGGCCTATGTTAAGAGCGTGGCAGAAGCAGGGCTCTCACACCTGTCCCCAGCTTTCTCCCTGAAATAAAGTGCAAGTGATCAGTGTCTGCTGCAAAAGGGAAGGGGAGGGTTGGACATGGATAATCTATGACCTCTGGGTCATTGCTGTCACCCATTGTTCCTTGAGCAAAAGCAAAAATACTACGGGTTGCTTAGAAAGAATATGTCTTTTTTCCACTGAAAAAAATGCATATATGCAAAACACCAAAAAGCTCTTTTCAGTAAAAGAGCTACAAAATAATTTAAGAGGCAGAAAGCTCTTGTAACTCCTCACCTTAAAATAAAAAAAGTTAAGAAAGATGAATACACTCAGACTTACATACCTTGGTGTGTCCTTATGTATTCTACAGAATAACTGCTTTATGTAATTATTTATATAATTATTCTCATGTATCATCATGCAGCTACACGCTTCTGCAATAAGGAGGAGATGCCTTTCTTGATTTTGCCCAGCAGATCATTTCTGCAACTGTTATAGATCCAGCACAAAGCACAAAGATAGCGAATATTAAATATATTTTTAAAAGGAAGGATGCTAGAAGTATGCTATGTCTGTCCTCACTACTCTTCTTCTGTGTTCTGCTCTATATGAGGATTTAATCTCTCTTTCTTCCCATGTACCTCATGAGGTTTATGTTTCATAGAAAAAAAAGACAAACTTTAAATAACTCACTGAAATCAGTAGTTCTTTACAGAGAAGAATAGAACTAAATGCAAAAGTACTTTTCATGAGTATAGCAATAGCATAAATATTCAGTTCAGAAGGGTATGAAATACAAAAATCAAAGCTCTGAGAGAAATGGACTAGATGTTAACAATCCACAAATCAGAAAAACGTATTGCAATGACGTGCCTAATGAAAGTACAAACACCAGACGAGAGCAAGCAGTGAAATGAATGCACCATTTCTAGGAGTTTTAGGATCATATCAACTTGCAGTGCATTTGAAATTGGTCTCTGAGTGAAACCTCCTACTTCCTGACAGAAGACAAACAAGGACACACTAAATATTGAATATATTTCATTAAGCTACTATGGAATAGGGAAATAAAGTCTGAGCAGCTTGTTGCATCTGGCTCCAGCTTGATTCACATCATCAGTGCTCAGTGTGAGGCATTTTGTCACTCACAAGTTCTACAGTCAGTGCATTTGTGAACCCCCTGTGCTACACTTGGCCCTCACAGACTCACAAAGGAATTTCTGTTCTGTCTTCCTATGCTTCACATAATGTTTAACCCATTCTACTTTTTTAGCCCAAACTTAGTTTAAAACAACAAAGATGCATTATGAAAGCATGTTTTTGTTAAACAGATGTTCTTCCTCCCACACCTATTTCATTACAGGCCTTCTCTCCTATCCTCCTTGTCCTGATAACAGTGTTTTTATAGCCAGCTCCCTTTGCTGATTTTAGCCAAGTTTCGAGGACATAATGTTTTAATTTAAACATAGTTCCAGTTCCATGGTTTTATTTTCTATGTATTTGAACTTGCTGCTCTGCAAAAGATGCTAATCTATTTTGAAACATTTTCCTAACCTTTGTTTGTGCAAGAGCTTTCCCCACTGCATCCCCCTCTCTGTCTGCAGGTAGTCTAAAACCACAGCTGCTCCGTGGCTCTGCCCCACTTTTTGGCAGAATGTAGGGTATTGTCAAGCTGCAGCCTCTCATAAGCCTGCATTATTGGACACATGCCTGCTATGTGGTGAGGACCTCCAGGAAGAAACGGAACTTCATAAAAATCATCCCATGGAGAAACAAAACTTCACAGCACCAGCATGGAAAAGTACAGCTAAATAAAGCTGAGGCTATAGTCTACACAACAGCATCGGGGATCTTGCTTGGCATGACTCCCCTGTTCACCTAGTCATTTGTAAAGTTATTCAGCACCACGGCACGTGCACTCATTTCATTTAACTGGGACTATGGTTAATGCAATACACTCGATGGCTCTCTCACTGAGAACAGTGCAAAGCAAGTGAGAATAAGCATACTAAAAACACTAATAGGAAGTTCTATTACAGCTTTTTACTGGCTCTAATTGAATAGAACCCCTTATATGTTAATTTGAACTCTTGGTTTCTCCGTACTTCTTACTCTTAATTATGTCCAAGCAATATCAGCACTGTAAAAATAATCATGGAGGGCAGATCAGAGCACAGTCAACGTTCAGAGAAAATCACCCCATTATCTCTTTGCCCCTAGAGGGATTTTCCACCTCATAAAACAGATTGCTAAATATATGAAATAGAAAAATAAATGTTAAAGCCCCTACACATAACAAAGTTTCGACAAAATAATTGTAGCCTTGACAATCGATCCCAGTGCAGAGGGTCTGCAAAAGCCAGCAAAGCCCTGCATTAGATTAGTGCTGGTGAAGGGAGTGGTTTCCTGTGCTCTGAAGTAGCTTGCCATCCCTACCGCAGCACAGACTGCCTCAAACTGGAGTAATCTTTTAGGGATGAGGCATGTATGCAGCCTTACTGAGCAAGCTGGATTCTCTGCTGCCTGCTGATGGCTGCTTCATTCTTCCTCTGTGCCAAGGCCAGGCTTTGGCAAACATTTCCACCAGTGGTATAAAGGTGGTTCAGTAACCATGTCAACTATGTAATTTTTGAAATTCCCACTTGGGACCCTCAATAAAATGGCTACCAAAAGCAGGCTGGAATCTCAGGCATGCATTCTTTTCTCCGATGTTATCCTGATTTCTTTCTGTTTTACTCTGCTGCTCTGAATTTCCTCATTTTTGAGCTAATGGAATGCTAAGTTTAATATTTCAGAAACAATGCTGACAAAACACTGGCACACTGATGGCACACTGGGGAACTTGATGTGACAAAAGAACTGCAGCATCTCTGCATTTTGCATTGCACAATATTTCTAGAATTATCTTTGTTGACCTCCTGTCACCTTCCTGAAGAACCTCAAAGCCTGCTCCGACTTGAGAGTAAAATCTCCCAGTGGATGAAAATGCCTGGCATAAAGGCACTGTTACAGAATTTAACTTTTTTAATCAAATCTTTTTTTCACACTTAGTTTGGAAAAAATCATCAACAGATGGCAAAAGCAGTTCATTTTTCACCTCTTTACATAGATAAATTGTTCAAGGAAAATCAGACAAATCCAGTTCTGATGCACATACAACACATCCTTGTCTCCTGACTTCAGCTGGAATTATGAGGGATATAATTTGTGTGTAACTGGCCTAAGGCATCTTAGCTGGTCATCTACCTGCTATGAGAATAGACTCCTAGAAAAGAATTAGAGTAGGGAAGTGATATGCCACGTTACAAGTGAGCAGCTATTACAGTCATCCAACAAGAAACAGTTTAATTTTTATAAGGCCGCCTCTGAATGAGAAGCCAGATACAACAATCAGTCTAACAGGCTCCCACTATGTAAGCAGTAACCCATCCATTCATCTCGTTAGAAATACATGCAACATACCAGAAACTCCTGCTGGTGTCTTTATGAATTTTCCATTAAAATGAGCAATCACTGCTTCACATTTTTCTGTTGATTCCATCCTAGGAAAATAAAGAATAATTTACATAAATTAAATGCTCAGATTTCCATATTTCTGCCATTTTTCATGCACACGTCTTTTTTTTTTTACATCACTCTTGTGACTTGCTTTCCCATATTAGAGAAACGGAGAGGATGTTTTCTAAGAATACACTACTTCAGAAAGGTAAAGCTAAACACAGTTAATATTTTATACAGTTTAAGGTCAAAGTTAATGCCACAGTGCAAATACAATACTCTTATTTACTCAGAGATTAGGAAAAACATAGATAACTGTAGTGCTTTTGCTTTTTGAAGAAAGTAGATCGATACACATTCTTAATTGAATTCTAAGCGTACATGATGCATACAAAAATAGTTAATGCCATTTTTGATAGATACTGAAGTGATTGTACAGTTTAAGTCAAATGCAAACATGCCCGACTGCACGCCCCAAACTGCCTTTGAACCTTTTAGTTTCTATATATCATCACAACTAAATGATGTGCCTGTCCCTCATTTAATCATCATTACCTTCCAAACAGGAACCAATAACAGAACAGCTGTGGCAGTTACTGAGAATCCAGCATCCTGAACAGGTTAGTGTACTTGTGTTGTCAAAACTAGCCTTAATAGACTGGGTGGATTGCTGCTGAGCTACTGCTGGTCTGGGAGTGGCTCCACAGGTTGCAGCTACATCCTTACATTGCAACGTAGATGTGTCGGCTCTAACAACCAAATTGGACTAAATTGGAACAGATTACTGAGATGTGCAAGTAAAATGAAACTTTATCTTAATAGAAGAATAACATTTTGCTGTCTGAAAGATAATGTTTAATGTTAACAGGGGATTTTCTTTTCATTTGCTCACTGAGTTCTTTAATGTGGATCCACAAATTATGCCCAATGACCTCAGCAGCAAAGCAGCAGTACTAAAAACGAGTTAAGCCTTGGCACCGCTTTGATTCTGATAGCCTTTCTGCACAGACCCACGAGATGTCATCATATATGAGAACCAAAATCATCAAAATGTCAGACTAAGCAGTTTTCTTTACGGTTTCAAAACCACCTTCTAGGGAATTTACTGAAATTCTGGATTTTTGGATCTGAACCAAAGAACTGTAATTTTTTTCTTTCAGATGAAACAAACAATATTATTTAGTTTCAGACTTGAGTCTGACTATATTATCCACCTGGTGAAATGCTTCCACAGGCAAGAAATGATAATCTTTATTTTATGTTTATGTGTTTCTTGGACAATTTTAAAGTTAATATTTTTAACTTTAATATTTATGCAACAATGTTTTAATATCTACCTTGCAGAAGGTAATACTTTTGATTAGATATCACAATAACAGCTTACTCTGTAAATACTGTATTATGTATATATGTATCTATAAATAACAAATACATAAATACATATAATACTTAATGCCCATGTACATAAAAATATAACCTATAACACAAAATCTATTGACAAAATATTTTAAAACTAATCTTCCATAACACCTTCAATAGGAGCAAGGTTTTAAAAACACGTCTTTTGGACTTCTGTCAGAATTTTTAAACTCTTCTGACTATATCAGAATAAAAGAATTCCTAAAATACCACTGTTATACCAAATACCACTATTATACCAAGGTAGAATTAGTAAGCAAGTTTAGAGAAAAAAGACTGCATAAATGCACATGGCCTACCAAGTCTTAGCTTGAATGTTACTGGATTCTGCTCTTCACAGTACCTGCACATAGCACTCCCCTATTTTTGTTAATAGAAAACTCCAATTTAACGTCTCCAAATTTTGATTTCCATATAAGTGTTTAGCAGGACTTAATTAGAGATGGGAAAGATACAGAGAAAACTTAGATGAAGAAGCCCCAGAACAAATGACTGTATTAACTACAGAAAAGGCAGATGCACACAGACAGAATATATGGGAGCCATCCGCTAATTTATGAAAAATGTTCATTCTTGTTGATTTAGGATGCGTACTGAATCAAGCTGCCAAATATTTTAAGGTAATTTAAAATTTAATGTAAATGAATACAAATATTTTCTTTCCCCAACGATGTTAATGAACCAGACAACTCCAAGCAATGATATTCAAAAAGTGATGATGAGTGGATTTTCTCACAGGAAGTAATGAAGAAGAACAGATAGATGGGTGATTTTCCCTATGTTTTCTTGTTTGGATTTCAAGCCTCACAAGACAAAAATGTCACAGCAGATGTTTCAGTGAAACACTGCATAACCCTTCAGGGATAGAGAAGAAAGGAGAAGTACAACAAGGAGGAAGTACTAGAGATGAACTCTTATTCTTGTCAGATGTCTACTAAGAACAATAGATTCGGATTCAGCTATATAAGCAAAATGATACACAGCCACATTTTATTAAGCAAAAGATAAATGAGCAAAGCTCTTCTTGTATCTAGATATCCCTATTCTGGCCTTTTCAATTAACAAAGGAAAAATGCTGCCAGCATAGCTAATGACACTGAAGTACCTGGCAAAGCCAACACCACGGCTTGTCCCACTCGAGTCACGCAATATCCTTGTAGAGATAACCTGCCCAAAAGGCTTAAGCATGTTCTCAAGCTCCTGCTCATCCATTGAAAGTGGCAAATTGGAAATGTATAAATTCGTTGGATCCTGTTCTTGTTGCTGAAACAGAATTAAAAACAACTGTTATTATACTAGCATTGGGAAAGACATTTTGAACACAAAATATAAGAGCCATTACGTATATTTACTGGTAAATAGTGTTACTTCTTAGACCCCTTTCTAAAGATGATTCTCCCTAGCATTAGCAATCTCCATCTTCTGTCACTGTATATTGCATTCCTAAGAGAAACTCCCCTCCTCTTGGTATTAAATACTGCTGACAAGGCCATTTTTAAGTGAAGATAAAGGTGAATAATTGACTAATTTATAGTGCATGTTACAACTTCATGTTTCAGATTCTTTCAGAATGAAGAAACAGCAAAATCAACACAAGGGAAAAATGACAAGGAAACACAACAGTGGTGGAAAAACTACAAAAAAAAGAGATGTAAATTAAACATACAAAATTATAGAATGAGAATACAAAAATAATATGGGGGGAAAAAAAGGTAATGCATTTAAAACTGGGTACATTGCCAAAATATTTTCATAAGAATAGCCTAATGTACAAAAAAGTGGGACACCGATCTCTTCTCTCATACATGAACATGTTTGAGCTTTCGTAGTAGTTTGACATTATGTATTGAAACAATAAATAAGAGTTCCAAAAATGTCACTAGGCACAGACAAAACAACAGAGCCAGTAGATTATTAGGGCTCATATTAGATAAGAGAGACAAATGTAGGCAAGTCTGCAATTCTGCTAACCTTACAGCTGTCTACTTTTTGTGGTATATGTATGTAGCAAGAAATTCCATCTTAATCAAAGAAACATTTCTGTTGAAATCAATTGTTTCAAGTGTTTGTCAACAGATTTTCCAGTTGTGGTTAAGGATGCATCTCTTGCATCTTTCTCGTACTGCTAATTGATGGCTGTACTCTTGTTACTAACTGCATTCTTAATCTACACAGATCTGTATGATTTGGCCCTTAAAGTTGTGCAAAACCTTGATGTCATCATCGTAGCTTTCTGTGTAGATCTAAATCTCTGCAGCATGTATAATACTCAGAAGAACTTTACCGGCATTAGAAAAGCATGATATGAAACAAATGTGATTTTGTTGACATAAGCCTCAGTGTATTTTCATTCTGTGCAAGTGGCTTAAGCTACAGAGAAGTTTGAATCAAAATAAAAAACAAAATGAAAAAAACCTGTAACACCTACAGGAATTAAAGCATTTATTGAAGCGATTATAGCTGTGGTGATACCCTCTTATAAAGAATAAACATCAATCTGTCATTAAACTGCCCTTGTATTAATAATATCTCGGCACGTTTAGTAACAAATCATATAATTCATTAGTTTTCTGCCCTGGATATCATCTCTCAGGTGGGACTGGCATTCCCTAGGGAAAAAAGGGCCTGATGGCTAAGTCTTGGTTCTTTTAGGCACAGAAACAAATCCTTACACTCCAAAAAATAAAGAAAGTTAAAACAGGGAAGCAAATCTTATGCTTAAGGACTCATACTGGTTGTTTTGGGTTTTTTTTGTTTTTTTTTTTCCCCATCTGTATTCAGTTAGAAAGGCCTAAAGTTTTCCATAAGGCTTTCTAAAGAAATTTCAGCAAAGGACCTACAAAAAGGAAATGTCCCCATTAATGTTCCCTCCTCATCTGCATACTACATCACTGATACATGCGTGATTTCTAGCCACATTGAAATCTCATGTAACTTACAGAACACCAACTTTTCCAAGTGCCTGAGTGTTGTCCTAGGCAGTTCCTTTACAATCCATTACAAATGGCATTTAACTAGCATGTATGGTTTTCCTTTTTTTGCCAAGTGCGAACAGCACTCTCATCTCCCCTTCCTCCCCCTTTAGTAGTGAATGTGTACAGAAGGCATAGAAGTTTGTTTTTCAAATTATCTACAAACATCTGATTTGTCTTTCACTTTAGAAAAATCAGCAGAAAGAGAAGGTGAAAAAATGAATTCACAGGGAACCAAGATGCCACATTAATATTCACTGCTGGGCAGTGTTCAACTATGAAGGAAAAATCTGTGTTATAAAAGTTAGATCTCTGACATATATTTTATGTTTCCTCAGCTAGGAATGTCAGATGAAGAGAATTTTCAAGTTTTTTAGAGCTTGCTTGTTACTCAGATTGCCTTGGAGAATTTTGGGTTATACCTTGAGATATGTAGGCTTACTTTCTTCTTTAATGATCGATATTAGCTAAGTACAAGTACCCTAAAACGTCTGTAAATAACCTGAAAAAATATATGAGCTGGAAATCAAACCCTTTGAATATTTTCATCTACTTTGCTAATTTTTTTTTGTTCTATAATAAAAGAAAGCCTGAATTATATTATTGAAATGTTCTCATTAAAAAGTCTAACAAGCATTGGAAAGATGAAAAAATACATAACACATTTTGTTTGCACTAATAAAAATGCAATTTATGTACCAAAAAAGAAAATCTTAAATTCAAGAAAAATTATTAGAGAAAAAAAAATCACTTAATTGCAGAACACTGGGGAAATTGGTTTTATTTGGGTGACTAGGAAAATCACATTCCCCTTACCCAGGCTCCGATTCCAGCCTGTGGGGATACCACCTTTCTGCATTATAGATGTTCTGTTAAGGATGAGAGGTCACAAACTTTCCTTGCTAAAGGGACATAAGGCCTACTGCATTTCACTATATGACACAAAGATCTTTCTTCACACATACTGGGAAGCTCAATTCTTGTACCTGTCCACCTAACAGAGAGCTTCATGCCATACATCATGACACAATGTTGTTAGAACAAGAAAATGAATGTTAACTCCAAAAGAACGTAAGCCACTTTAGCACTAGCTAAATAGGAAATCCCTTTGGAATTCTGGGGGTACAGAACCAGTAGATGATTAGGGCAAGTATTATATGTAGCAGATAAATGTATGCACATCTGCAATTCTGCTTATCTTATGGCCATTTACTTTTTACGATACATGTACGTAGCAAGAAATTACATCATAATCAAAGAAATATTTCTGTTGAAATCAATCGTTTCAAGTGTTTGCCTGCTTCTGCTTTTGGTCCTTCAATGGGACCGACCACAGTGGAAAAAAAGTGGAAGATACTTTTAGCTATGCCCACAGCTGGTAAAGAAGGCTGAGATGGGAGACGAAAGGCAAAAAGAAGTTAAGTGGATCAGGCTGTCACCAAGAAATTGTGGGATAGTAGCCAGAATTTCATTCTTCTCTAATTGTCCCAGAACAAAATAGTTAAAATGCCAACAAACACATGCCAAAGTGCACCGAGGTTACAACTACACTGCAGATGCTTCAGCCCTGGGCAGTGGCAGCAAATAAGCAAATAGATCAGAATAAATTAATTTAATTCACTTCTTCATTTTGCTGGGAAGAAGAAGAAAAAAAAAAAAGAAAAGGACTGCCATTGTTACTCAAAATAGCTGTTTTATGATACTGAGATAATACCACTGGGGTGGACATAAAGGAAGACCAAACTCCTTTCCACAATATATCTGGAATTTTATGCAGTTTGGAAGTAGAAAAATTATACCTATTAGCATGCAAAACACCTCCACTTCTCCATTAATTTCTCACGTTATCATGTAGCTTCTGTCACCTCCATAAGATTAAATCTTAAAACAGCTATCTGGGTAAGTGTGGGGAGACTATAAGAAGCAAGTCATTTCCTCTCCCTTAGAGCACACTGGATTTCCAAGCTGACTTCCAAATGGCAGCCACAACCAGGACTCCCCATCCAACTTTCTCCTGTCTAACACAAAAGGCACTGTACAAACAGATGTTTGCTTTTATATAAGGATTTGGCACAGAAAATGGTTAAACAGTTAAAAATTCAGGAAGTTTGGAGAGAGACAAACTTTTTCACTCGTCCCTCTGTCTGTCTCTGGCAAACAGCAGTTTAATACATTAAGTTTTGTGACTTCCTTCCTTACTGAAATCTGTCCCACCATAACTTGGTTTACAGTTATTACAGTTCTGTGTTAGAAAGGAAAATTAACTCCTTGGATATCTGACTTTCTGTAATTCAGCAAATGGGTGCAATGAAATATCTGCAAAAATAAGCATCTAACTCAAACCTTGCCTTAGACAGCAATCATTGCAAGTGCTCTCAAAAGTAGATTCTTCATGGTTAAAGTCCATGAAACCATATAATCATCAGCTTTTACCTTAGAAAATTTAAATCTCATGAAATCATTTGTACAACATTAAGAGAATGATCAAAAAGAATAACTGAAGTCAGTGGAGAGAGTCCTACTCAGGATAGCAAACTAGAATATAAACCACTGAACCACTGGAATTTCTCTTTTTTTCTAAATGATTTAGGAAAATTGCTTGAATCTTCGTATCTCATGGAGGTTCTCCTCAGTTAACATGGCCTTCAGTGTGTTCTGAAAGACACTGAAAGTGGTCAGGTCACTGCAGATTATGGGCAATGTCAGGGGATTTGTGGGCCACCATGAGAGCACACATTACTGATGAAACTAGGAAGTCTTATTTTTAGCCATTTGTGTCAGCAAGTTTCTATCGGTCTTTTCTCACCAAATACCTTTAGCTGTGCCTTCAGAACTTCAGAACAGTGCTACTTCAGCTCAATGAACTTGTTATCCCCAAGTAGCATTTGCAGCTCTAGCTTAATAAGCTGACTACAAGATATGCCATTTATCATAAAAGAGATAGAAATGGTCAACTGCTAATGTTCATTTCTGTAGAAAAGTGGTGATCAGGAGTCCTACATAATGTGAAAGGTTCTGCCATCATCTGAAATAAATTAACAAGAACCTCGCTGTGCGTGTGGAATTGTTCCTAAATTGCAAGCAAGAAACTTGGCAAAGCGGTAAGACATCTGTTTTCTCTTGCTCTGTGTAAGGTCACAGATAACAGATAGCCATTCAGAAACATGTGACTAGGAACTGCTCACAGCATGGAAGATCCTCCGGCTGATAGGGAAGCGATTAAATGCTCATCTGCCTTCCTATAGAAACTACTTCAGCATTTACAATTGGCCTGTGTCTCACTGAAATATG